ATGTGACACACCCGCAGCCAACCGACCGCACCTATAATTGTGGCCAGTAGGTGGAGCGGGGGTGTCGTTGTTGGCAGTTTGCAACAGGTAGCCTCGAAGTGTCGTTCGTCAAAGAGTGTGGTGGTGTGGGATAAGGTAAGTCCCATAGTATGTATAGCCCAGGAGGCCGAGCCGTGTATAATCCCCTGTCCATCCGAGCCTCGCCAAAGGAGTATTGGCGGGTGCGGTGGAATCAGGGAAAGGCGGCTGATATAGAGAGTGGAGAGAGGCGGTTGTGACAAATGTGTGACGGATGTGAGAAGACGTTGCGTTGGAGATTCGAGATCGGCGCCGAAGCAAAACCTATTATCGGAAATCGAGATATATGTCCGATCATATGCCGGGCTTCGACGAGGAGGGGGGGGCGGGGGCGGGACGATTAGGAAAAAGGACGGCCGCATGCGATTACAAGAGAAATACAAAGTCATTGTCGTGAGATCGAAGCGCTTGGCCTAGCCACTGCCCTGCAGTGATGCGGATTATGCGTTCGTGACCTGGAAGCAGCACATGATTAGCACGTGTCCACGACTAAATAGCTGACGACGAGGAGTTAGCACATACCTTGAGGATTCTCCTCGAGTAGTCTTGGTTGTCCGCGATGCTGCCGGCGCTCATCCTACGCATGATGGCTGGCTCGAGTCTCGTATCGAATGCGGGGGCGTCACTCGGTGACTTGACGAAGGCGTTGATGGCCGCCTGGCGCCTGTGTGCATCCTCTAGCTCGCGACGGTTCCTGGCACGCAGGAAGAACCACATCCCTCCGATTGCCGCGGCTATGACGACGACGCCGACAACGACGCCTGCGGCGATGGCGGCTACATTGGGGCCTGAGCTGCCGCTGTTTTTACTGACTTGGGGTGATTGGGTAACGATGACAGTTTGACCTAGATATGTCAGCAAGAGTCGGCAGTTAGGAGGGCAAAAAGAACTCACCTCCGACGAAATTTGTAACCACAGAAGGGCTGCTTGCCGTGGTCTCGGCTGCTTGTGATGTTTTAGATGAAGGAGTGCTACCGGACGCTGAATCGGCATTCTTGATAGTCAAATCAAGGCCGTCATTCCATGTGGAGAAATACTTCCCATCTTGTGAACCGCCTGTTTCACGTCAGCATGATATCGACAATACCCAAGCAAAGTCACATACACATATCTTGGCCATAGCCAGGGCACACCATTGAGCACTTCGAGCTAGCCACCATGTGCTTCTTCGCAGGTAACGTATCGGCGCACCAACAATCGGAGCCGTTAATCGCCATCACCGGCTTACCCATCGGCACGCAATGAGTCGAGCATGCGGACGCCGCCTGCCACTGTTCGTTGAAGCCATGGACAAATCCGTCTAGAGTATCGTAGCAGTCGCCCTTTACAATATCGTGGGCATCCGCGGGCGCCGGGCCGAGTAGCGCGACGGCAAGAGCGAGAACTGATGAGACGAGCATGGTGGATATGTTGGCCGTGGCCTCGAAGATGACGGGGAATTCAGCACTGTTGGTTGTTTTGATGTCGAGATGGACGTCGACCACCCTAATGACGCTTCAACGGGGTCGAGGTTCGTGACGCTAGACCCTTTGACAGAGGACGTTTCTTTGTCCTAGCTTCGTCCCTTTTCTGAAAATAGCGGTCGGTTGCTATAGGAGATGCCGCTTCGATGGGATCGATGCCGCTCGTGATTTTGTTTCTCTGGTCAGATCTGTTCGGATCTGTAGTTTCCTTTGCCGCGAAGTCGAAATGAACCGGGTATACCGAGGAAATGAACGGGGTAGTCGGAAGAATCGACGAGTGTCGACGACGGGGTATAAAGCGAATGTCGTGAATCACACAGGGTGATCAAGTTGGATGGACAGACGAGGGAGTGTGATGATGGATGAAGGAAGGTGAATGTCGTCGATGATGGTCGTGTTTCGTGATGGAATTGAAGAGAGAGGAGAGAGAGAGAGACTGACACAGATACAGACCGAGAGGTGTGGGTGTGCGTGTGCGTGTGAGTTGAGAGGACTGGAAAGGCAGGGGGGTGTGTGTAGAGGGAAAGGATGGGGAAGTACGCGGTATAGAAGTGTGTGGTACTTTGATAAGGTACCGCCGGGAAGTGGGAAAAGGCAGTCAGGCACAGGCACAGGCACAGGCACAGGCACAGGCACAGGCACAGGCACAGGCACAGGCACAGGCACAGGCACAGGCACAGGCACAGGGAGACGCGGGAGGGGAGAGAGAGGGGGATTAGCGGGAATTTAGCAGGAATTAGCAGGAATTAGCAAGCCAACGGGCAAAAAGCAGGCACACGGAGCAGTGAGAGTACAGTAAAAGTAGAGAAAGTACAGTAACCACAGATAACCGCTGAGGGGGGAGGTACCTGCATCACAAGAGCAAATGCACAGTAACTTTAGGTACATAACTAGACTATAATATGTACCATACAGGACGAGGACAACACCAGTCCAGTACTGTTTAGTACAACACAAGCCAAAAGATCGACATATTTCTTGCCGCGGTGTCTTGGGACGGGTTTGCGCTGGCGTGCACTTGTGTCTCGCGTTGTGCCTATCATTTCTATGGACGGCGAGGAGACAAGAAGCAGACAGACCAGACAGACCAGACAGACCAGACACACATCTTGTACCCCTTCGCTGGTCTCCCCAGCACAAGTGTACAAGTGACACGTCTCGGGAATGTTCCGTTCCACTCCTCCCCAACACCTCAGGCCTCACAAACCTCCCTCACCTCCTCACACACTCCCTCACACACATCCTCTCCCTCTCCTTCCCATCATCACCACAACGATACATAGCACACACAACGGATACACACTAACACCGCGTCTTGCCTAGCCCCCCAATTAAGCGAAATGACAGGAAACCACCCTCTAACCCCATCCAGCCACGATTGCCCGTTTACCTCGTTGTCCATTGGCTGCTGCCCACTCCATAACAACCGACTCCACATTTCTTGCGGTGGGAAAAATGGGAGGGTCCGTCTGTTCCTGCAGTACCGCCGTCGCCTGTCTGTCCCCTGTCAACGGCGGGTACCGTACCGCCCTGGAAAGAAAATACAGCGCGAAAAGTATTGTGGCGGAGTTTCGTGTGTTTATGCTAGAATTTTAATACCCAGCACATCCGAGTTAATGAAGGGGTTATTAGTCGTACACAAGGTTATGTTATGAGTGATAAAACTGCTATTAACAATGCAAACGCTTTAACTTCCACTTGCTCAGCCTCAATCGATGACTTAACTTTTGCTTCAAGTATACACAGCCCCTAGAATTGACAGGATTATAGGGGAACCCGAGATGACAAACCGTGGTACTGAACCGTACACTTCACACTCTCACACATGCCAAACAACAGCTTTACCGCAGCCGTACCCATTCCATTCCCGCTTCACGTGCTGCCCCATCCAAGCTCTCCACCTTTTCGTAGCCCTTTGCTCGATCAACCACCACTATACCACCACACAAGAGTCCAAGTAAGTAAACAGCTCATACATAACTTTCACACATGTCCCAACAAACACTGGCATAAAAACGCCACTTCCCTACCCACCTCCACCGCCGCCACAAAACCCACACCACCAAACACACTCGAAAAAAAATCCCATCATGTCCGGCATCCAGAACCTCGCCGTCCAGCCCAAGCCATCCGTCTCGTCTCCACGGTGGAGAATCCGAAAACTCAATAAACAGCACACAAGTCAATCATTTACCTGTTTTATATTTAGCCCTCCCCCTTCTTGGCTGTCGTCTGTTGTCCCACCCCACCCATCCATCCGCCTCACACTCCACAGAAGGTAAGCAAGGCAAACAAGGCAGGTAGGTGAGGGCGCGAGTTTAGAGAACAGGTATCACGTGATGCGTGACTGAGACAGTTTTGCTGTGATTCCGGCGCCTGGACTTTCTTTTTGCTATGGTTGTCCAGCGCCTAGACTGACTGGACTCGCTCGGTAAGGAAGGGACGCGGTGGTGGTCAGCTTGGAATTTTAAGAGTGAGACGCGTAGTCGCTCGTACGCCCTATACAATATGTACAGTACAGTACTGACACGACACGGAGTACAGTACAACTTACATCCACACCCAGCCAGCTCCAGAACCGCGATGACATAACCCCCCGGCGTGCCTTTTCCCTCTCTCTGTACTACTATACTTCCCCCGTTATCGAAATTCCACACCCACCGAACCAACCAGTGCTTCCAGACCTCTATTATTAGGCCCCCCATCCGCACCGTACGCTTGGCCCGACAAGCACAGCTCCATCCCATCCCATCCCATCCGGACGGAGATAGGGATGGATGGATGTCTGTGCGGATATTGGGCGCCACACGCACTGGGGTTCGGGGATTTGGAGACAAGAGAGAGATCTGGGCTGGGATGGATAGGCTAGATGGATGCAGTGAGATTCTCGTGAGGAGGGGACGCGCGGTGTTGTGCAGGTAAGGAAGGTCGAGTCTTGGTGATGCGAGGGAGGGATGGGGAGAACACCAGCGGCTACGGGATAGGGATTTCATTCTCGTGTCAGCGCCCTTGGCTTCAGCTTCGTATTCAGAAACTCGAGTTCCCGAGAGTCAACCTAGGCATACAGTACATACATATAAATGGGGCTTTGGCTACTTCAATGTATGTCCGTTACATCCGGACGGTTGAAATTCTATCCTTAGGAAGCAGGTTTATGTATGGCCATGCATGTCCGTCCCATGTAACGATCCAGACCCCTCGGCTCAGGCTCGCTAGAGGACCGCTAAGGAAACGAGACGCGAGTGTGTGGGACGACTAAGGTATTTCCCCGCCAAGACCCCACGATTGGTGTGGTGTTGGGAAAATCAAAAAATGGGTTGTGAAAGCTGCCAGTTCTTTGAATCTGCAGCAAAAATAGACAGTGTAGAGCTTTTTTAGATGTAACAAACGATCTGAATAATAAAAAAGAAAAAATAATGGCAAAAAATGGCAAAAAATGGCAAAAAGTATAATAAAATCCACTCCAAGAGGGGCTCGAACCCTCAACCTCAAGATTGATTTACATGACTAGACGAGAGTCATTAGTAGAAGTCTTGCGCGCTACCATTGCGCCATTGGAGCATTTTCGGATTTCCAGGGGTAGGGCAAAATATGACCTATGAGGGTCATAGTATTTTGGAGGTAGTTTTACTGACAGGACCGGTTGGTAGAGGTGAGGGCGGAGGTATGTGTATATTTATAATGGTAATTAGAGAAAAGTGCTCGTCGTTTTATTTGCTATGTTTAAAAGGTAGAATGTAGGTTATATTTTTATATAAATACTGAAAAATGAAAATTAATATCATGATTTTATTCCCCAAATTATACGTCAAATAAATAACTTCAAAATATTATATTTATATTCATCTTAACATTTATTCAATCCGGATTATACCTCCGTCTAGCCTCCTCAACACCCCTCCTACCGTCTCTATACGGTGTATACCTATCCCCTCCCCTCCTCCCCCTCCTCTCCTCCCCCACCTTCACAACCGGCACAGCATACTGCACATTCCGATCCCAATCCTCCACCCTCGCAAAGGGACTCCTCAACCACGCCCTAACCTCATGCAAAAACAACCTCGCATGTTCCCTCCCCAAAAACTCTTTTAGTAACTCCTCCGCCTGCCCCGCCGCTCCTTGTACATCCACCGTTTTTAGGACGGCGATGATGTACTCCAGCAGGAACTCTGCGTTATCCCCCCTCCCCCTTGTCCTTCCCCCCTGCGTCCCATCCCCTTCCTCAGTATTGTCCGTGGGGTGCAAGAATGCAAAGACGCGAAGCTCTCGCCGTATCCACGTCCGCGCCCTCGACTGCAGAAGGGGCGAGGCAGACAGCGATTGCGGCGTGAAATCGCGGTAGCGAGAGATCCGGTTGCTGCCTACATGCAGGGAGTATAAATTCTGCGCATACACCGCTCTGCGGCGGGCGAGGGCGTCATCTGGTGCCGGATTGGGGATGTGCGTGTACTGCCGCCGCGGCCTTGATGGCCTGTGGGGGACGCTTCGGTGTTGTTGTGGCGGCACTGAAGAGGGTGTGGCGGCGGATTTGGTGGTGGATGTGACGGGGTAAGTTTTGTAGGTTGAGGAGTCGGTAAAGGCGTAGTGGATTTCGGAGACTTCGGTGTTGCAGAGGGGACATGAACTGCGCTGTTGTAACCAGCTGGCTAGGCATATGAAGTCGAATGAGGAGTGGCGGCAGGGCGATGCCTGGGCGGCGTCGGTGATGAAGTCAAGGCATATTACGCAGCATTCTTCTGCGAGGTGGTTTGAATCTGCATCTGCGCCTGCGCGTGCATTGATCTCGGCGAGGGTTGTTTGGAGAACCTTAGACTTCGTGGCGTCGTCGTCGTCCATGGAGATGGGAAGTTGTGGAGGGGCGATGACTAGAGGGATAAATGTTGGGCGGGCGATAACGATAAGGCGCGGTCCGGGACGCGCTAATTTAGCCATTACACGTCTAGTCGCGTCCGCTGGTTAGGGCTGAGGAAGTGACATTTCGAGACGCTACTGTGGCGACAACGAATACACATTATGGACGAGGAAGAACGAAATGTTTTGACGGAGCAGTCGGTTGCGTTGAGGCAGGAGTTGAAGGTTTGGGAGAGGGAGTTTGCGGCTGGGAATAATGGGCAAAAAGCTGGGAGGGAGGATATCAAGCAGAACTCTCATATAGGTACGTCGCTGCATTCCTCCCAGTACAAAGCACGATCTAACACTAGACGCAGCTCAAAAGTACAAAGATTACAATCGAATTCGAGATATTCTCGCTGGCAAAATACCCGCGAAACTTCCCCCAAAACCGAAGACCAAGGCGGCGGAAACCACAGCGCCGCGCCCCTCGAAACGGAAATCCCCTTCTAATACACATGGGACGCCCGCCAAACGACGAGCAGTCGTAGAATCTCAGACGCCCTCACAGATACACCCCCAACCTTCGACAGCCGGTCCATTCGACACCCCCTCAGCGAACCGCCTCCTCTTCACCCCCCAAAAACCCCGTGTCATTGGGCCCACGCCGCAGAAAGATGGCAAGTTCCTCGGTATCTTCGACGCTATGCCCAGCGGTGACGAGGTCTCGCCTTTCAAACAACCAGCTGCTCCCACAGACGCTCCAAGCATCCAAGAGACGCCGCGGAAGTCGAAGGATGTTGATGAGGGGATCATGGCTACGCCGAGCGCGGCGAGGCATGAGAGGACGCCGCTGTCTAGTAGTAAACGCTTCTTGCTGGATACGTTCGTGACGCCGTTGAAGCGTCGGCGGGGAAGCAATGAGGAGGGCACCAGACAAGCATCGTTGACGCCTAGTTCAGTGTCGAAGCTGAATCTCTCTACGCCTTCGTTTTTGCGGAGGGATAATAGGATTGCTCCGCTCCCGGCTATAAGTGAGGATACTGCGGATGCGCTGTCCCCGCCTGCACCGAGGATGCCGAAGAGGTCGCTTGTTAGGGGGTTGAGTAGTATGTTGGCGAGTCTGAGGGAGATGCAGGAGGAGGCGCTGGATGATGATCTTGATGCGCTGCGGGAGATGGAGAGTGGACCGCCCCCTCCGAATGCTGCCCCGAAGCAGGCATTATTACCCAAACCTCAAGCGCCGAAACTGCAGGAAAGTGTTCAGGTCGGGGATAGTCAGCAGCTTACTGATTTCCCGTTTATTGATTTCCCGGATCTGGATTTCAATAATGATGGTAAGGAGGGGGATGATGAGTTGGGGGAGAGGGAGCAGGCGATTGCGGATAGGGATGGGAAACTTCCTGTTTATAAGAAGAAGGGCCAGAAGAGGACGACGAGGAAGGTTAATATTAGGCCTGTGAGGACTAAAGCGCCGGCTCAAGAGGTTGCGCCTACGAATTACTCCGACGATGAAGATGAGGAGTACGGTGCTGGGCAGGATGATACGCAAGACGGGGATACTCAGAACCCGGATCTCGTCCCAGATACGCAGGAAGGCTTTGAAGCAGACTCGCTACCTCTTTACAAGGCAGTCCGGAACTTTGACTCGGGCTCGGATAGCGGCACTGAGTATACTGCCTCGGAGGGAGGGACGAGATACAAGAGGAGCAAGCAGAAGACTACGGGACGCAGGCAGAAGGTTGGGGCACAGGCGCATACGAATTATAAGAGGATGAAGATGAAGAATTCGGGAGCGAAGGGGGGGAGGGTTGGAGGGAGGTTCGGGCGGAGGAGGTGATTGTGAGGATGGCTGTTTTGGCTCTGCTGAGGCTATAGAATGGGTGTTGTACACGAATTATGAAGGTTATGATGGTTACAATAGCATGTTGCATTGGAGAGGTAGCGTAGCATACAATGGTTTTGAGAAATAGGAATACATACTTGAGAGGCATTTTTGGGGTCGATGGTTCAATCGCATTAGATCGGCTTTATATTACCTGTGACGCCGTCGCTGGCGATAGGCTGGAGATATCTTGTGGCTGCATGTGGTCATTGTTCTGGGCCTCATAAATCCCTGTTCTAGACCCCCGCCTTTTATAGACCAGAACTCGCACAGCAGCATCCATAGCTCCGAAAGGTGAGCCACGAGTGATTTTCAGCTCTGGAAATAAAATATCTCATCCTCCAAACACACCCGAGAGAATTTTTCGTCGCGATTATATATAACGGTCTCCGCAAATCATGGATGAATGGCTGAGCGGGCCGAATGGACAGGCCTGCCAGGGCGATAATAATAGAGTTGGCGATGCCATCATCATTGATCGGGTAGCAATCTTTAGCAGCCAGTTGCGCGCCAAGTCCGTGCTCAGATCATGGAGGTGCAAGACATGTGGCGTCGGAGCAGCGTCTGGTTGGAACCATGAAGTTGAGGCTTTTAATTGTTCTGAATGCCTCTCACGAACGAACCTTGAATCCTCCGAATTGCCCGGGGCATTTCGATATACCTTTTTCCCTCTTCTGGGTGCTGTTGCTGTTAGTAGCCCCCGGCGGTAATTGGCGGGCTGGGCTGGTGGTGGTTGGTGGTTGGAGAAAACAAGGGCCAAGTTCAAATGCGCAAGGCGGGTTTAGGCTGCCCCTCACTCCGTCCGTTTTCGATTCCGTGGCTGCGATTGGGGTGATTTGCGGTGCGGGACGAAACTACATCATCATACCCTTTGCGCCGCAACTTGGAACGAAACGATCGAATCTACTAACCAACAACAACTCTATACCTCTTACGACGATATCAACACTTCCTGTCACTTTCGACGTATTTTAACCTTCTTTGCAATAGCAAGAGATCGACTTATACTGGATGACTTGCTGAGGCAATTCGCGGCTTACCTTACTATATTTGTTACCCCGCCAAGTACCTGTCTGGGCTTCGTTTGCACCTCCAAACGAGCGACTGGGCCCGTGTTTGAGCTGCATAGGATTTCAACGACAGCAGAGCACTCCTGCGCAAGCTCCCTAAACTTCGATAAAACAACGAATAATACCTTTCACCACCTATCAAAATGCGCGGTGCCATGCAACCCACGAAGGACGGCTCGGGACGCCTTCTCCTCGTCTCCAACCGCCTGCCCATAACCATCAAGCGCTCCGACGATGGAACGTATAGCTTCAGCATGTCCTCTGGCGGTCTGGTCACAGGTCTCAGTGGCTTGGCAAAGACGACCAAGTTCCAATGGTACGGATGGCCTGGGCTGGAAGTCCCAGAGGCAGAGGTTGAGGACTTGACTACTCGTCTGAGAGACGAGTATGGCGCGACGCCCATATTTGTTGATGATGAGCTCGCAGATCGTCATTACAACGGCTTCTCAAGTAAGTTCTATATTCATAGCCTATGGATTATATGCTGACGTATCTCTAGATTCCATCCTGTGGCCGCTCTTCCATTACCACCCCGGAGAAATCTCATTCGACGAATCCGCCTGGTCGGCATACAAGCAAGTGAACCGCCTCTTCGCCAAGACCATGGCCAAAGACGTGCAGGACGGCGACATGATCTGGGTCCACGACTACCATCTCATGCTCCTCCCCGAGATGCTGCGCGAGGAAATCGGCGACACCAAGAAGAATGTCAAGATTGGATTCTTCCTCCACACACCCTTCCCATCGAGCGAGATATACAGAATTCTGCCGGTGAG